TCCAGCTATTATTACAAATATCTTCGAGTTGAAGATAATATGCAAAATAAGTGATTGCAAGAAGGAGAATTTTAGCTCCTTCTTGGGAATTACATTTAAATGCTCAGTATGTACTATTACTGGGTTAGACATACTGTTTTCCACAATAAACAATCTTCATATACATATAAGTACTCAAAAGTTTAAAATTTGCTTGTGCAAATGTAAATTTTAAAAGGAATCTGAATTTTATTTACTATCTAGGATGTTGTATTATATATGGTCAGTGTTAAAAACAGTGGCTTCTATTGTTTTCATATAGAACTTAGCATCACTCCCCCTCTGCTGGAAGCTACCTGACACAAATAACCATTCAACTGCCCCCACTGAGCCTGAACTTAAGTCAATAATGCCTGAGCATCAACAGGCTACTTTAATACGCAATTTTACTTTACACCATATATGGGCATCTGATGTTCCTGGGAAACTTACTGCAAATGTGGTATAAATAAATACTAATCATTTCAACTCCATTAAATTTAAAGAAGCTACTAGAGCAGGTTTAAAATGTTGTGAACTGCAAAATGAGATGGCACCCCTCTACATTTATGTTAATAGAGGGTTCCTGTTTAGAGTAATGGTACTTTCCCAATGGAAGTTTAAAACAAAATAGAATTTTATAGGTTTTAAGAAAAATATTCTGAAATTAACCATAAAATCTACAACAATGCAATTTTATATAATCTTTAGTGATTTAAATTTGAAATACTCATGGTAGAAAGTAATAAAATTGTGACAGCTATTGAGGTTATGGTGTGCTGTGAAAGAGATCTACAGGAACAAGACCCATCTTTTTTTGTTTCTGTTGTTCTAGTCTCCACGTTCTCTACAGTGTTCCAGCTATACAAGATGTAAACTGTATTCCACCCATTACGTATATCACCAGATCCCCTTTCTATAACAAAAAAATATACATGTCAGTGTTAAAGCGAGGTTCAGCAGAGAAACTCAAACTTATTCCAATATGTGGAACTTTGGCATGATACACTTAAACTGGTGGAAACCTGCCTGAATACTTCACCCAGCCCCTCTATCACCCTCTATTATGCAAACTGCAACATTTCAAGCCAACTCTCTTATTTGACTGGTGAGTCTTGTCAACACTAAGGTAACAGAACTGGAAAAACTCATTACTCCACAAGGATAGTCAAATATCAGACTTTACTTCATTTGGTAAAAATCCTATCATTGCCAAATAAAACTAATGCAAATATAGTAAAATCTGCATGATTCTGAGTAATTCTTTTGCTGAAAAGGACTCCTGGGGAGCCTCAGCTTCATCCTACAACTGCTTAGGCATTATTTTGCCCCTTTGCCCTTTTCATGCCCCATCTCACAAGTCATGGAAGCCAGGGAGGAGAGGGGGCAGTAAACCAGAATGAACTAATCAGCATGTATTTATGCATTTAGTCTACTCTAATCTTATTCCCAAGGTTTTCCCCACATACTCTGCTCCTCTCGGGAAAGAACTATGTCTTATTCATCTCTGAACTTCCAAAACCTAAGCAAATGCCCACCATATAAAGTCATTCCTAACATCTACTACACAGCAGGTACTGGATTAGGGACTAGAGATGGAGAAGTTAAAGAAACAGACCTTGCCCTCATGGAACCTACAGTGGGGGAACAGGCAGGGGAATACCAGACACTGGCTGCCATGAACCCCATCAGGCCACTTAGCACAGTCCCTCTGCCTATGATCTTTCTCCCACGCTCAACCAAAGCTTAGATGAAGAACAAAGGCAGGCTTTCTCTTCAAAATAAATGGGTATCTCCAACCCTGTCATTCCCTGAATTCACAGGCAGGCATACTCACCTGCTCAACATTTTCACTTGGAGGTGGCTGGAAGGATTCAATGCATGGACTCCAAAGCCACACTGCTTAGGTTTGAATCCTAGCTACATGACTCACAAGCTGGGTGACTTCAGACAAGTCACTTATAACCTCTTTGTGGCTATTTTCTCGTGTGTAAAATGGGGACAATAATGGTTCCTTGTATATATAATTCTCACAATGATTAAATGAATTAATATAGGTAAAAGTACTTAAAATTCTATCTGGGACTCAATTTACACTGACATAGTAGTAAAATAGACATACTATTTTTACTAGCACTATTGTTACGACTATTTCTAACAGGCATTTAGAACTTGTGCAAAACTAAATTTGTAGCTGTCCTCAGTGAACAGCACCACTGTACATCTAGTTGTTCCGGCCTAAATGTAAGTCATCGCTTCTCCCTTTTCCTCACATTCACATCAGCTGGTCCAGTCAGCTCTACCTTCAATACACACCACCCATGCTACCGCCCACCATCATCTCCACAACTACCTCCCCCAGCCCAAACCACCATCATCTCACCCACAGGGCACAGCAGCTTTCTCTCCCCATTTTCACTCCACCCCACCCACTCTAAACTACAGTTAATTCTCCAAACAATCAAAATTAGATCAGAGGGCCATTCCCTTGATGCAAATCTTCTAGTCGTTTTCCATCACACTTAGAAGAACGTCATTACTTCACCACAGCCTACAAGGGAACCCATGACCTTCCTGGCCCTTGACCATCATCAGCCACCACTCCCCCTCTTCCCTGCTGTGCTCTAAACACTCTCGCTGTGTCTGGACCACCTCAGGCTTGGTTCCACCTCAGAGCATTGTCCTGTTTTCTGCTGTGAGGCCGAAAATAGTTACCTGGTGCCTGGACTCTGAAGTCAGACTGCCTGCATTCAGATAGTCTCTACCACATTTTAGCTGCGCAACCTTTGGCAAATTCTTAACCTTTCTGTGTGTCAGTTGCTTCATCTATAAAATGGAGATACTAGGTTGTCTCATAAGTAAATTTTACTGCTGTAAAAATTTACTGTTCAGAACACTGCCTTACATATGGTAAGTGCTACTTTTTTTTTTAAGTATTCATTGCTTTTATTTATTTATTTATTTATTTATTTATTTATTTATTTTGAGATGGAGTTTCGCTCTTGTTACCCAGGCTGGAGTGCAATGGTGTGATCTCGGCTCACCGCAACCCCCGCCTCCTGGGTTCAGGCAATTCTCCTGCCTCAGCCTCCTGAGTAGCTGGGATTACAGGCACGCGCCACCATGCCCAGCTAATTTTTTGTATTTTTAGTAAAGACGGGGTTTCACCATGTTGACCAGGATGGTCTTGATCTCTTGACCTCGTGATCCACCTGCCTCGGCCTCCCAAAGTGCTGGGATTACAGGCATGAGCCACCCCGCCCGACCGGCCCTCATTGCTATTATTATTCCTCTCTGAAATGTTCTTACCTCAGGCTCCTTCCATTACACTTCCAATTGATTCAAGTGTCCCTGCCTTTGAATGGCTTTTCCTGACAGATCCTACCAAAAACCACCTTCCCCGTTCCCCCACTGTCCTCCTCTTTCCTTCCTTTCCTTCACTGCCCTTACAACTATCTGCCCTTACATTATGTACTTATTGTTTATTGTCTATTTCCCACTGCAACATGAGCCCAGCTAGGCTGGAGACCCTTTTCTTTGCTGCTCTATTTCTAGAGATTTCTGACTCACACTTCATCCAGGCTACGGGACCAAATGCAAATCTCCTAATAACAATAGCACACTTAGAAAGCACACTTGTGATCTCACTTGATGCTGGAAAAACCAACAGCAGACATACTATCAGCTCCCATTTTAGATAAGACAAACAAAGTTCCAAGTTTGGATGACTTGTCCTTGGACACAAAGCTAGTTCACGACTAGAACAAAGATTAGAAACCCTGCTTTCTGATTCCAAGGCTCCTCCCACCAGGATGAAAGGATATCACACTCCTGAAATGAACTTACAGAAATGTGAACTCTCGAGCTCCTGTATAAACACATCCTGAAGGGTGCACAGTATTCTTCCCTTCAAAGTTCCTGACGAACACTCGTACTGCAGTTTGAGAGGCATGAAAGTCTGGTAATAACTCATTGATAATGTACTACCCCTTGGCCAAAATATTCAAGCAATCAGACACGATTATTGGGTATTCCAAATCAATACCGCAATCCTTAAAACTCAGTGTGTCTGTGTTGGGTATAATGTGCTAGTTCCAGCATACTGAAAGCTTCCTCTGCAAAACCCGGAAGAGGGGGGCATTGTAATCACTAAGAGTAACGTGCTAACGATACCTGTTATTTCTTGATCCCCATTTTATCAAGTTTAGTGACATTAGTTCAGATCACCAAACTGGCTCCAGTGCGGTAAAGGATCAGATGGAGGGAAGGTTGTAGGGGGTAGGCAAAATAGTGAAAAGTTCTCTGGCTTGAAGATCTCTGGTCAAATGGTCAGTGGCCACCACATTCCTCAGAATAACCAAGGGTCTGTGGATAATCTTTCTCCTAGCAAATGTACACACTTGGGTTATCTCACCTGTTCCCAATGTTGTGGGAACGACCATTATGGAGGCCAGAGGCTGCTGGACCTCCATTTTACACAGAAAGAAAACTGAGGCAGCAAGTGGTTATTTTGCTGCCTTTCTTTTTGCGTCCACGAGTTGGTCACTTGTGGGATCCTAACGGCCAGGACATAGGATTCCTAGTGAGAGGAAGCCTCCATCCCCGACTTAACGTGTCAAACTCCAGGGTTGAATAGGAGAAGAGTAATCCAAGTCCCTTTATCACAGAAGAAAAAAACGGACTCTCCATTTGGACTTTCTGCCCCTTCTAAGGCCTCGTTCTCCGGGTGGAAGACGCTCCCCGTCCCAGGGGAAAAGGTGCTGGCCCTGCCAGGCGGGGCGCGGCCTCGCCTCCCGCACCCTGGGTCCCTCCCGCCCAGCAGGGCGCGCTGCCACTCTGAGCAGGCGCCTGTCCCTTCGCCACGTTCGGCTGCTCCCCAAAGAACTGATGCCCCCACAGCCGCCACCACCACTGCCGGGACTGCCAGCAGCCGGCGGCCCCCACGAGCCCATAGAGCTGCAGGAATCCTCGTAAAAACTTACAGTTTTCCTACTGCGTGCGCGTCACGGCGGGGTGACGTCACCGGCCGAGCGTTCAGGGAGGTCAGGCCGCGGGAGGGGCGCGGGCCTTGAGGCCCCCAGGCTCCGCCCCCTCCCCGCCCCCCGGCGCCGCGGTGGGAGACACGCCCCCGAGCTCCACGCACCGCCCCGTCACGGACCCCGCGCACAGGCGCAGATGGCCTCAGCGCTTGCATGCCGGTGGGCTTCGCCAGTCGGGGCGCCTGCAGCGGCGGCTGCTCTATGAAAGCTTCCCTCAAAGCCTGAAGCTGGGGTTAGAGGAGAAGGGGCCGACAAAAAGGGACGGAGACCTTCAGGAATACTGCAAACAAGCTGTCGCCCTGGGGGCTGGAGTAGGACGCCAGGGTTGTGAGGTAGTTTTTCCATAGACATTTCCTCACGTGTTCTTTTAAAGTTCTCCACGTGTGGAAACAGTCGTTTGCTCTCCAGGTGCGAGGGGAGGGGTCCTCAGCCCTGAGAAGACAGCTCTCCCAGGGGCCCTCACTCCGCCCGGGCTCGGCGCGTCTCCCGCCAGACTCCGCCCAGACCACGATCAGGCCCCGCCTATCTCTTAGCTAGACCCGTCCCATGCCCAGTTAGACCCCGCCCCTGGGTTCCGCCCTTCCGGCTCCGGCTCCAGGCTCCCTCGGGCCCCCACCTTCCCCTTCTGCCAAGCGCCGCCTCCAGCCCAGCCAGTTCCTTGCAGATTTTAGTTTCTACCCTTCCTGCTAAACTTCCCCTTTCGGCTCGGTGAAGCTACTTACAGGTTGCCGTTCACCTCTATTAGGGTTAATAAACGGTGATCCGGATAAACATGTTCACTTCTTTGCCGGGGCAAACTTTCCGGCCCCCCACCCACTCACGTGACGACACCTTCCTGTGGCCAAGCGCCACTCTCTGGCTTTTTGTTTGTTTGTTTGAGACGGAGTCTTGCTCTGTCGCCCAGACTGGAGTCCTGGGGCACGATCTTGTCTTACTGCCATCTCCGCCTCCTGGGCTCAAGCGATTCTCCTGCCTCAGCCTCCTGAATAGCTGGGATTACAGGCGCCCACCACCACGCCCGGCTAATTTGTGTATTTTTAGTAGAGACGGAGTTTCCCCGTGTTGCTTAGGCTGGTCTGGAACTCCTAACCTCATGATCCGCCCGCTTCGGCCTCCCAAAGTGCTGGGATTACAGGCGTGAGCCACCGTGCCCTGCCTCTCTGCTCTTTTATGCCCTCAGAAACAATGAGTTCTGGTTAGAAAAGGGCTCGGTAGGTGGAAAAAATGAAGGCTCCAAAAACTAACAACAAAATATTAACAGATTATTTCTGGCTTATGGAATTCTTACCCTCTCATAAGCAAAAAAAAACAAATGTTATGGTAAAAAGTGGCTCACACAAATCTGTTTTGGGGAAAAAAATTTAAAAGAATGAGAAAAACAGGCCTCCGAATAAATAGACCCAAAGGAGGAAGTATTGAAAATGGCAAGGTTCACTTTTATAAACTTACTTGGAACCACAGCAGATGGCCAGGCCAGGGATTTTGTAAGGCAACTCCAGTTGTAAATAAAACCTGAAACAATGGTTTGTTTACACTCTCATTGAAAATGCTGTGGTATTTTTATAAGAAAGAGTGATGACAGGAATATTAGCTTTTAATTCGAGATATGAGTTGGTTAAAAATAAACATTATTCCAGAAAAATCTACATAAGCAAAGTGTTTTTAAATGTTCTGATTTGGAAAATACTTGTATATTTTCTTTGAATATCAAATAATTTTAATCATCAGATGATGTAAGAGAAATTTGTGAAGTCTGTACATAATTGTAAAAAGGTTTTTTTGTAGAGCAGAGGTATAGAAAAATTAACATTTTTTAAACTTCTGCATATTTTTAAAACAGTGATATTTACATTTTTCCTTGCAGAACAATTTTAAGAAACCTTGAAATTGTTAATTTCATAGTTTACCTGTTTATAAAATGTTTTATATATATATCATTTCTAAAAAATGTTTAAGTGAATTTCTAGGTACACGTTATGGGAGTATTTCACAGGTACATGTCATCTGTTACTTTTTGGAGTGGGAATGGATAAGAAGCATACACCAAATGTGTTAAATGATTTTACCGTAGAATACTTTTACCTCTGAAAGATGGTATTGTAGGATATATTCTTTTCTTCTCATCATATTATTCAATATACTTTCTCTTGAAATCCCAGGTATTACAAACAACAACATTGTTGTTTTGCTAAATGCAGGAAAGAAGTAAATGCAGTGAACAAAAGATGGCCGACAGTGAAGATACTCAAGCAAGGATCGCAACCTCAAGGAATGTCAAGTAGAAATTTGTGGGAAAATACACACTCAGATTTAGTCAGGTTTCTTCAACAAACTGGAATTTGATCTAGATGGGTGTCGAGAAGCTAGGGTCAAAAGTGTTGTTATTTTAAAGAAAAGAACTGCTTTCTTTAAGAAAATAAAACCCTGGACCTTCAAGGTTTGGCACTGGAAGGACTGAGGCCCTCCACTATGGCCTTTGGGCTTTCAGTTTCCCCTTGTGATTCTTTCTCTTTGATATCTGCTGCCCATAGCAATCTGGCTTCCAGAGCCCTCTATGTCAGTACACATATCTCTTCCTTTGGTCCTACTTAGCAAGCTGAGAAAAGCTGAATTAAAACAAAGAGTACTTAATATTTGGGGAAAATAAAAGTGAAAGAAATATAATGGATAATATTTCCTGAGTGTTGATTCAGTGCCAAGCACTGCATTGTTTAATTCTTTGCAACTAGATAAGAACTGTTTTGTCTCCTATGATCCATGTTAGAAAAAAAAAAAAGAACTGTTATTATCCCCATTTTAAACACAAGGTAAGTAGGTCAAGTGCCCATGTCACACAGCTGCTGAGTAACAGAGTCAAGATTCCAGACTTCATACTTCAGAACCCACAGCCAGAACCACTAATCTCTCTCGAGTTTCATACAACCAAACACAAATCATGCAAGAAACAGAGGGTCTTAGGAAGTCCAAAGTGCAGACTTAGCTCCAAAAGATTGACCACTGTGTATGGGTATCTTCTTTGCTATTTCCCATCTCTGCATGACTGCTTCTATTTCATTTTTTAATGTGGTCATCATGACCCACTAAGTTGATTTTGTGATCCAAAAGGGCAGCCACTCTGGAAAACACTAATCACAATCCAAAATATAAAATACCAGATTGTATCACATGTATTTTTTCCCAAAACACAAATGAGGGGAAACTTTCAGCCACATGTGAGTATTCAGCAACGTTAAATGTGTTTCATACTGTGGATCTCAATCGAAAAACAATGTATAAAACACTACTGTAACCACCCCCCCTTGCCTAACTAACATGCATCATTCATCCTTCAGGATCAAGACCAAGGGAAACAAAATCCCATTCTGCAATCCCCTTACATCCTTCTTTAAGCCCCAGGATCTGGTTTGATGATCTCTTCCCAGGTAATTGACATAAACATCAGGTCACCCCTGATTAGAGATGGGCCCTTGCCGCCAGCTCAAACCCAAGAATATACTAATACCAATAAAACAATCATATATAAAACAAGAGTTACACAGGTTAAAAGGGGGCTTATTCTGTCGAAGGAGCAGAGATAGTTTTCCGGAAGAAGACCTGGGACAGAGATTGGAGAGCTCTGGAGGGATGTCTGTTTAATAACACAGTTTTACTCGTCTGCAGTTACACAGTTTGCACAGTATTTTATACCTCATTTTATCACCTCCCTTCCCCCATCATTTTACTTAGCTAATTCTTCCCAATCCTTTAGGCCTCTACTTTGCAGGAACTGACTGAGAAGCCTTCCCTAAGCAGCTTTTGCTCTCTGCATTGCAAATTATTAAAATTGCCTCTTCTGCTAGACTGTAAACTCTGTGAGATTAGGGGAAATGTGAGTCTTAACCTGGACTCTACATGTAGTACCCCAAGTAGGTTGTCAGTTAATATGTGTAGAGAAATGCGTGGTGAATGGATGGATAAATTCAAAATTCAGAGACTGGGTAGCTTTCTTACTCAAGATGCTAGTTGCTTACTAAAAAGGGGACACTGTGTCAATAGAAATAATTCTGATGAGAAAATTCCTTTAGGAGACAAGACATTTTGAATGGCAGTGCATCATAACGTAGCAAAGCATTGACCAGCTCCATTATTAACTGGGTACTTTAAGTGCAGTAACTTCTGCAAGCTTCAAGTGGGGTTAGACTTACTAAATAATAATAATAATAATAGTATTTTGAGACAGGCTCTTGTTCTGTTACCCAGTACAATGGCAAGACCATAGCTCGCTGTATCTTGAACTCCTGGGCTCAAGGGATCCTCCCAGCCTCCTGAGTAGCTAGGACTACAGGTGCGCACAACTACATCTGGTTAATTCTTTTTACTTTTCATAGAGATGGGGTCTGGCTGTATTGCCCAGACAGGTCTCAAATTCCTAGCCTCAAGCAATCATCTTTTATTGGCTTCCCAAAGTGCTGAGATTACAGGCACGAGTCACTGCTCTGGGCCTCACTAAATGTTATCCTTCATGAATATCCTAACAGGATGTTACCCCTCTGGTAACTCTGAGAAATCAGAGCAGGCCACCTGGAGACTTATTTACATGAGGTCCCCTGAAAGACACAGGCACTGGGGAATAGCAATTAATTCTCTTAAACAAACAAAGGATGTTAGACAAAGGCTGTCCTCAACAACAAGAAGGGGTGGAGGGGAGCAAGAAGGAAAATGGAAAGACAAGGAACTTGTGTCCTTGTTCTGAGAAGCCCAGTTCTTGAGTACAAGGCCTGCTGCATGCTTCTGAGTATAAAACTGGAAGAACCACGCTGTTTTTGTGGGTGTGCTGGGATCGGGGGACAGGGAAGAAGGTACAGGAGAAAAGATATCAAAAAGATTTTTGACTGAGCATGGTCATCATCCCTGTAATCCCAGCACTCTGGGAGTCCAAGACAGACAGATTGCTTTAGCCCAGGAGTTCAAGACCAACCTGGGCAAACCTCATCTCTACAAAACATACAAAAATTAGCTGGGCATGATGGTGTGCACCTGTGGTCCCAGTTGTTTGGAAGGCTGAGGCAGGAGGGCCATTTGAGCCTGGGAA